CTAGAACTGTAATGAATAAAGTTCTTTAGAGGTTGCTAAAAAAGAGTAGAATGAACTAGAACTTGGGATGTTTATGAATAAACAGACTGATAGATATTTTCCTTATTTTCATTTTCATAATTGGCAGCATAGTTACATTTCAGCGCCAGATACACTGGACTACAGTAGACAGTGGCAAGTGGTGCCAGACTAACCAGGCACTGAGAAAACAGCCCCAGGGCTATTTCCTACAAACACAAAGGAGAGGCTGTTGATGAGGGGCATCCGGACAGCAGCACAGCCCTGGCCTGAGGGAAGGTCTTTCCTCCTAAGGTTAGACCACATTAGGTAATAAGAATACACATAAATTAATTGTAACCACAAAGCAGGTACTATATACCTAGTTAGTTAAATAGAAATTCTGTGAGTAATGGGGAATGAAGATTGAAAAATTACTTTCAAAAGGGTTTCTGAAACTAGGAGTGGAGAGCTGGCTTCTGCAGGCGAGAGTGCAGCTGGACACATTTCTTTATTGGTGAAGACATGAAAAGAAGAGCATTTCCAAATTGTATGGAGTGACCATGACTGAGAGACTGCTGAACTACAGACCTTCCTGAACTCAGAGCTATTTCAAAAAAGTAACTTTCTTTCAATGTAAAATATATCGAATACATATTGAATATATATTGAAAATATACTGAATACATACAGGAATCTATTTTCTGTGGTTTTCTCATATGCTCTGGAATTGAATAAAATTTATCTTTTCAAAGAAATGGCAATGGAAAGTCTCTATTGCTTGACTCACTGTAATCTACATAATTTGTTACCAAAACTTTAGAAAAATGAAAGGTGGAGGAAGCAAACACCAAGGTCAATAATTAATGGAAAGACCACCAACATTGGAAATTCTGACTGGTTCAAATGCTGGCTTCTTAACTTGAGGAAAATTACATAGCCTTTCTTAGCTTCTTAGCCTCAATCTCTTCTGACAGCCCAAACTGCAACCAATCTCTTATTTCTTGGATTTCCCATCCCTCTCTACCTGTACCACTCAATGGTATCTGTCAAATTCTAATGTATTAGAAATATTGGCTCATTCATTCATTCAACAAAAATGGATCATGCCTAACTTAGGTTGTGCAGTCCTTCAAATGCTGAGTTTACAAAGGCGATTAAGACAAGGTTCTCGCCCTCCAGAAAACATATTCTAGATGGGAGAAAGAAATATAAATAAAAGTACAATAAAGGCATGATTAGATGCTACAATACAGGTACTGCGAGATGTTATGACCAGCTCAGAAGATGTGATATTTGGGCTGGATCTTGAAGTATTAGTCTCTGTATATAAATGCCTTATTTCTTTTACCACCTTGAAGGCAGCACCATACCTCATCGTTTGTATGCCTCACAATGCCTTTACCATGGTAGGTGCCAAATAAATATATATAGGATGAATTAAGTGAAAGAAATCCAAATTTTAAGCTTTTAATGAAGGAAAAATACAAATAAATTTCAGAAATATAATAAAATTACACTCTGACAATGGGAAAAAGAAAGTTCAGGTACTCAAATATGTGTCGATAAAAAAAGTAAAATGACTTTAAATACTAATTTGAAAATAAGAGACCCTGAGACTCTTCTTTTGGACACCATAAACCAGAATATTGTAATGCCAAGAGTTGCCATTGAAACAATAAAAGGTTCTACCATTTTCTTTCTCAATACCCTATGATATAGGTACTATTGTCCTCGGACAAATGAGGGAACTGCAACAGAGAAAGATTAAGTCTTTAGCTCCAAATCACACAATTAGCACATGGTGGAGGCTGGATTCCAACCCAGTCCTGCCTGACCCCAGAGCCAAGCCCTTGGCTGCCAGGTGACGTAGCTTCAGTCTGATTGCCCCGTACAAGTATGTTACAGCTACTATTATGCAGATAAGCACTATGCTGCAATAATGGTCATGTGCATTTTCTGAAGATAGTAGAAGAGAGTTAAGGAAACATCTTTGCTTTTCAATCATTGAGACTGAAAGAAAATTCTTGATTGACTTATTAATTAAAACTCTTTGATTCCATTAGGACCAAGATACTTCCTGTAAGGCGCTAGATACAGCATTTTCCACATCTTGTTCTTGGTTCCCCACATTGGCACTCTTCTCACTAAGGCCTCTTCTCCGGGAGGCAGCCAGGAAAACAGCCACCAGAAGACTATGTGGTATTTAGAACCTCAATATGGAGAAGTGCATAGATTTGGGTTATTGGGATTCCTCCTTACGGCTGGTGATGTGATCTTGCAAAGGAAGCCTAGAATAATCCATTGTCAGAAGGTCAGGGAGGAACAAAGGGTGTCGTGGAGAAAAGGACAGGAAAGAGGAAATGGGCAGCAGGAGAAAAAGAATGAAAAAGACAGACGATGACATTCTGACCACAGGAATTTCCTAGACCATTGCCTAAGCTTATCTCTGATGTTTACAACACAGCAGTGGAATGAAAAATGTATACACAGATCCATGCATCAAAATCTTTCCCCTTTTGGATGCTCAGCTTGGTATATACAAGAATTCATCCTGATCTACCCAGCGAAGGGACAGCTAACCAGCCACGACCGGACAACACCTATAGTGGAGATTACGTGACAGAAGATTCGAGTTTGAGGTCACTAAGGCACATTCATTGTTTCCTGTCATCTGATATCATGCACCCTTTACAACCTTCTGGTTATATTTAGGCTCCCCATGTAATAGTTTTAGCCAAAGTCACCATTATCATAGTAGTAGCAATAATTGTTGTTAGTGCGTGGAGTGGATTTCGACGTCTAGACCCCGTATGCAGCAGAGCTGAACCCTGCCTGGTCTCTCTGCACCATCCTCTCACTTCCGGTGCTCTATCAGACAATGCTCTGCTGCTATTCATAGGGTTTTCATGGCCAATTTTTTCGGAAGTGGTTGGCCAGGTCCTTCTTCCTAGTCTGTCTTAGTTTGGAAGCTCTGCTGACACCTGTCCAGACACATGGGTGACCCTGCTGGTATTTGAAATCCCGGTGGCAGAGCTTTCAGTATCCCAGCAACACGCAGCTGCCACAGTATGACAACCGACAGAGAGGTGGTGTGGGTCCCTGACCTAGAAATGAACCCAGGCCAAGGCGCTGAGAGCGCCGAATCTTAACCACTAGACCCCAGGGCTGGCTAGTAGCAATAATTGTGACATCACAAATAATAACATTAATTATAATTGAAATATTTTTAACATGAAAAACATACCATTTTTGACAGACTAATTTCTATATTTCTCAGCACAATCAATACATTTTAACTCTAAGAAACTATATTCTCCCTTTTCACTCAACACATAAACAATTTTCTAGCCACTTTCATCCTGACCCTCTCCAAAGTCACACATACACACACACATACACTCACCATGTCCCTTACACCCCATGTACAGACCATATTATCTCTATAAGCAATGATCTTCAACTTATAGAATAGTGGAATAGACAAGGATTCTGAGCTCAGACTTAACCAGATTCAAATTGCAACTTTTCCTTAGTAAACTGTGCAATTGTAACTATAGAGTTTGAGTTTCCTCAATCTGAACCACTTTGGATCAAGTATGGTGCCTCACAAAAAATGACAGAGGAGAGGCACACACCCATTCCATTACTTAAGTGGAGAGTGACCCTGCTACCAATAGTAAAAAGGGGTATTTTTGCTATACGTCAATTATATCTCCATAAAACTGGGGAAAATTTTTAAAGCAAATAAAAAAAATTAAAAGAAAATAGGGATTATTTTCTTTATATGCTTGAAAGGAAGATGGCCTTCCTTTTCTTAATTGCTGAAGAACTAATCCACTCATCTTTACATTAACCAGGATTCCTGTTTCTTTTCTCCTCTCTGGGTCTCCTGCCTTTTGGCAATGTGAACAAAAAGCAAACGTAAAGTCCACAAAGCACATTTCACATTTTTAGGCACTCCGAAAAAGATTTCATAGAAGAGAAGGTTGAATTAAGGGAGAAAATGAGATTGAGGATAATGTATAGATTTAAATTATTCAGGCTGATGCCAATCTCCATTTCCATGGATGACCAAAAGCTGAGTGAGTTAGAGATCATTTTTATAACTAACTAGCCAGCAAGCTAGCAGACTTAAAACACTGAACTTGCCTCTCGACCTGGAGTGTCGAAATCACTAAAACAACCTGCCCTCCTCCCCAACCACGCATACCGCTAAGTGCTCTGCCTCCTTTATGATGTTCTCCATTCTCAAAGGTCGATCTGATAACAGGCCTGTGAGGGCTACAGAGGAGGCCTCCCATCTCCTGTGACCTCAAAGCTGCGCCGTGTGCTAAAAAGTCATTGCACACAGCCAAGAAACAAAAACATCCTAAGCCACAGTTGGGTAATATCTGCATGGCTGTCAAGACAACCTGAGAAAACAGGTAGCCGAAGACAGCAGAAAGCCATGCATGCAAAAAGAAAACAGCTCTGATTAAAAAGACAAAAAAGCGAGCAGAAACAAAACCCTAAAGTCAGCTTCTTAAGGAAAAGGGGTTTATCATAAGTCTATCTCTGTGCTCTATTTTACCCTGAAAATGTGTTTATGTATTCATTCATTCATTCATTCAATCACTGTGCTAAGCACTCATACCATCAGGATGCACAGTAGTTGGTCCTATGCTTTACTCAGTCAAGCAGTACCCATTCGTTGCCTGCACTTTAGCTGTATTTGTCGTTGAACATGGGGACACTCTTTTGGGGCAAGTGCATACTCTCTGGCTCTCTCCTCTCTGGCCTCCTGTTCTCTTGCTGTGCTGGCAAAGAGGGCTAAGCTCTCAGGCCAAACCTTTTCTACAGCCTGACCCCTCCAACTCAGCCCCAAAAGAGATCTGGATCAACTCAATGGTGGGCTCAGTGCACTCCACCATTTTTTCCCCTTTAAACTGCAGGTCACTTTGCTTTCCCTCATGTTCATTAAAGAATAAGCTTTGCAGAGTGACATGGCAGCACATTCGTACCTGGTCTCTCAGCCTCTCTTGGTGGCCCATGATTGCTGTGGCATGATGTGGGTATTTCTGCTTTAGATGTTCTAGGAAAGCTTCTCTCTTCCTGTCCATCTCAGATGTCTGCATTCCCAGGATTTCTTTGGAACTTCGGGGCCCACCTAGAGTGTGTCTCCTTGGGATATTTCGGGAAGACTTGGAAACTGAAACCCGACTGTTCCCATTAGAAAGGCGTTCCTTAGTTCTGCGACATTCTGCATCTTCTGATGTTACATGCAGATTGCTTTTTCCTTGTTCTGAAAGACAGAAAAAAAAATTCAGTTTACAATGAATGATTTCACACTAGAAATCTCATTTACAGAACACCAAGAGGGTCTGTGGCAGCTGTTAATGTATGAATGTAACTTAGCAGAGTTTTTCATTTTGAGGCAAGAAGGGGAAAAAAATCAACAATCAAAAGGAATATGAAAAATCACACTTTAGAAATAAAGATGTTGCAGCAAAAACTCTACTATTTCTGACTCTTTCTCTGAGGCTATTCAAAATGAGAACACTAGGGCAGACTAGTCTGCAGGCAATTGAGTTATACTTTACCTTCATCTGTAATTTAGAAAAGTTAACTCCAGTGATCCTGGTTACAGTTTCAACCTGGTAACAGGACTTTTATATCTTCATATATCTTATATAGTTTCTGAAACACCTGTTTCATCTCCAAGACCAAAAATAGCTATTATAATCATTGGCATGTGAACCAGTTGAAAATTCTATTTCCCCCATTCACATAGACCAGGTAAGCATAAGAATATCATTAGAGGTAATAATCCAGGAGATGTAAAGTAAAGGCTTAGACACATTTTCCTTGAAGTAGACTTTATCTGAAACACACAATGAAAAAGGAAGAGATATAGTACATTTTGAAGGCCTTGCCCCAGACACCCTGCCTCTGATCTGGCCTTTAAGGAACAAGCTGATTTCTACCTGGAACCAAGCAACTGAGGCAGGCAAGGACAACGCTTCCAGGGCAGGACACGGAGAGGGAATCTCCATTCGTTTTCAATAGTTGGCAAATGGGGTGTCAAGTTTGAAGATTCCAATTAACTGAGAAAAGGGGGTTACTTCTTAAAAAAGGAACCATGAGGCCGGCCCGGTGGCCCAGAGGTTAAGTGCGTGCGCTCCGCTTGGGCGGCCGGAGGGTTCGCAGGTTCGGATCCTGGGCACGCACCAACACATCGCTTGTCAAGCCATGCTGTGGCGGCGTCCCATATGAAGTAGAGGAAGATGGGCATGGATGTCAGCCCAGGGCCAGTCTTCCTCAGCAAAAAGAGGAAGATCAGCATCGGATGTTAGCTCAGGGCTGATGTTTCTCACAGAAAAAAATAAAAATAAAAAAGAACCAGAATAGGAGGAGAAAGTAAGGAACATTCAGAAGCACTTCAGAAACTTGTCAGCTTCTCTTCACGGGGAGCAGCTCTTATACAGTATTACACGTGCAGGCAGAATAAGGTGCCCTTGTCCACTGAATTCCCTGGAAAAAGCACTGGGCTGGGTCTCAGGAGTCCTGCCTTTGATCCCAGACCAGGAACAAACAAGTTGACCTCTCTCAGCCTCACTGTCTTCATTAACAAAATGAGGATGACTGGACTAGCATTAGATATGCAAAGAGTCTTCTAGCTCTAAATCCTTTAAATCTACTCTTAATTATTTTTTTTTAACTAAGTTTCCAATAAGAGTTTATTTGCCAATTACTGATCTTTAAAACTTAACGTGCAGAAAAAGAGATCCAACATTTGAGAGTTCTGGATTTGAGTTTCAGATAAATAGAGAACCAAACCTTCACACCAGTGATGTAAAGCAACAGGTGTCCAGAATGTAGGTATAAACTGGTTCCTCTAAAGGCAATGCCACCAACAGTTTTTCTCTTCTTTGATTAGAACCGTCTGTGTATAGAACTCTAGGGACGACACCCTTTGGTTAGGCAGAGAAAATATTTTATTCTCAGGCTGGTTTTCCTGTTCTGGTCTTTCACCTCTGGATGTGTGTTCTGAGAATAATTCTTGTTTACCCTTCACTTCTCATTACATTGCTAAGAATAGCATCTCCATCAGACACTGATGAGGAAAGGGAGGGAAAAAACAGGGTAGTGAATTCTTCTACTTTTCATTAGTTTCAGCAGCAAATTTACAAGAGGAAGAAGATGGAACTATTGGTTAAAAAGATATCGGGGGGCCGGCCTGGTGGCGTAGCTGGTAAGTGCATGCACTCTGCTGTGGCGGCCCAGGGCTCGCAGGTTTGGATCCTGGGCGTGCACCGATGCACCGCTCGTCAAACCATGCTGTGGCAGCGTCCCACATAAAGTAGAGGAAGATGGGCATGGATGTTAGCCCAGGGTCAGTCTTCCTCAGCAAAAAGAGGAGGATTGGCATCGGATGTTAGCTCAGAGCTGATCTTTCGCACACAAATAATAATAATAATAATAAGTAAAATAAAAAGATATTGGGAGATTAACTGTAATTTCATTTAATGAAATTATCTTCTCATTACACGGACTTACATGATGGCTACCTGTTTTATGGTCTCAATTTTTTTTTGGTGAGGAAGATTAGCCCTGAGCTAACATCTGTTGCCAATTCTCTTTTTCTTGAGGAAGAATGGCCCTGGGCTAACATTCGTGCCCATCTTCCTCTACTTTATATGTGGGATCCTTGCCACAGCATAGTTTGATAAGTGGTGTGGAGGTCCATGCCCAGGATCTGAACCCATGAACCCCAGGTCACCAAAGCAAAAAGCACAAACTTAACCACTACAGCACCAGGCCAGCCCCTATGATCTCTTCTTTAATAACACAGAAGTAACAGGATCTACTGAATAAAGCTGGATGCAGAAAATGCTGTATCTCAGGTTGGTAAATAAGTGTGCAATCTGAAGAGGTTTGGCTTTACCTTTTGAGTGTGCGTGTGCATATGAGCTTTGTATTAGCCAAAATTGTTGTATACTTGACCTAACTCTGTTGACTTTTAAATGAATTTTTAAGATTACTTTTTTTTCATTGACGTCTTATTGGCTTACAACATTGTGTGAATTTCAGGTGTACATTATTATATTTCAGTTTCTACATAGACTGCATTGTGTTTACCACCAATAGTCTAGTTTTTATTTGTCACCATACATATGTGTTCCTTTATCCCTTTTGCCTTCCCCCAACCCGCTTCTCCTCTGGTAACCACTAATCTGTTCTCCTTATCTATGTGTTTGCTTATCTTCCACACACGAGTGAAATCATACAGTACTTATCTTTTTCCATCTGACTTATTTCACTTAGCATAATACCCTTAAGGTCCATCCATGTTGTTGCAAATGGCACAATTTTGTCTTTTGTTTATGGCTGAGTCGTATTCCATTGTGTGTGTATATATATATATATACCACAATTTCTTTATCAATTCATCCATTGATGGCACTTAGGTTGTTTCCATGTCTTGGCTATTGTGAATAATGCTGTGATGAACATAGGGATGCATAAATCTCTTTAAGTTATTGATTTCATGTTATTTGGATAAATACCCAGTAGTGGAACAGCTGGATCATATGGTATTTCTATTTTTAATTTTTTGAGAAATCTCCACACTGTTTTCCATTGTGGCTGCACAAGTTTGCACTCCCACCAGCAGTGTATGAGAGTTCCCTTCTCTCCACATCCTCTCCAACACTTATTATTTCTTGTCTTGTTAATTACAGCCATTCTGACAGGTGTGAGGTGATATCTCATTATAGTTTTCATTTGCATTTCCCTAATAATTAGTGATGTTGAACATCTTTTCATGTGCCGGTTGGCCATCTGTATATCTTCTTTGGAAAAATATCTATTCATATCCTCTGCCCATTTTTTGATCAGGCTGTTCATTTTGTTGTTGTTGAAAGATTACTTTTGACATCATTAAAATAATATATTTTTAAAATTACCGAGGACAGCTAGGTTAATTAGCAGGACTGAATCTCTGGAAAGGTGATTTCTTTATATGGGCATAACACACGAGCATCTACATCCACCCATATGGATAAACTCTCATGCACCCCAAATACCAATGACAGGGGCAGAGAGTCCCATTCTGCCTTGCTACACCACACAGACTCACAAAAACTATTCTGTTTCATCTAAGGATCCTCAGACGAGGTCAAGACGGCCAGAATACTAGCCCCTTGGAGACTGAAAAAAGTTTTCCACTTTCTGCTTTGAAATAAATTGGGAAAGGAGTGAGGAAGGGAGAGGGCTGGGGTTCAGAGTCAATCGTCCCTCAACATTCACCTTCGGGCAGCCCCAACTTACTGACTCGCTAAACCCTCATCTTTGCTAACACTTTGCACTGAGAAGGTCATGTCAACCTTATGTTACTTTTCCGTGTTTTCTTTCTTGTGGATTCTTCTAAAATGTCTCCAGTGGCTTAAGAAGGTTTAATGTGATTTGGAGGAAAGCAGCAAACAGCACCAATGGTTAATACACCGATGGGTACACGCAGTCCCTTGGCAGATGTGTAATTGCCCTCGGAGCCCACTCCTTCCTGCCCTGCGCCTCACTCCAGCTCTCTATCAGCTCCATCTGCCTCCCATCCCACCACCACACATCTGTTCCACTTTCACCAGCATCCCCAACAAGCCAGCACCACTTTCCACACAAAGCATCCCAGTCACCTGAGCCTTTTCCTCAGTAAGGCTCAGCCGGTTGGAAGGTGCCAACTCCCATGTCTGAGGGAGAAATGATAACTCTTACCATTCCAGTCTTTGGGGAGAGTGTGGTCTTTCAGCTGAGGAGAACAACTAAGCGGGGACAGAAGCACACAAGAGAGGGAGGGGACAAAGGACGTTTAGTCACAATTCCACAGCCATGGAGTCAGATCCGAATCCCGCCAGTTCCTCATTAGCCACATGAATAGATTACCCAAACCATCAGAACAGAAATACAGTTCTATTTCTTGTCTGGAATGCGCTTTGGTGCTAACATTTAAATACGGGTGTGTCTCGCTCTTTGCTATTCTGGGAATCCCTGTCAAACAAATAATGAAGCTGCAGCATGAAGACCAGGCTTCCAGTTTCCCCTTCCTGCCCCTCCCAGCCTCTGCACAGCCCAGAGCAACTCCTTGTGGCTCGCTTCAAGCGGGACAAAGAGCAACACAGGAGCTTCAAGCAGAGAACAACCCCTCCAACATTCCCTGGAGCAGAAGGGGGCACGATGAGGGCAGAAGTGCCACAGAGAGACTCTTCCGAGTTTCAAAGGGCTTCCTGGCTGGGATGTAGACATTCTGGAAATTGAAAGTAGAAAGTAGGGTCTGGGATGGGTACTTCCAGGATTATGGAAGATGGGTCGTCCACCCAGCAAGTTATCCTGCAGGCAGGCGACCCCAGGAGCTGCCGAGGCTGGCTTCTAGGCCACAACTCAGGTTGCTTTGTTGGGTCAGCTGACCTACAGCAAGGAATTTGGGTCTCTGTATCATTCAGGCATTCCACGCCTGCTTTGTACTTGAGAGCCAGCAACAGGGCTGCTGGCTTCCCTGAGATTTTATTCCTGGGTCAAGATTAGGTAGGCCATGGCCTCTTAGAGAAGGAGTCTCTCACTCCTTTATAGTGGCTTCTGGTTAGCTGTCTCTAAGATGTAGCTTTTTATAATGTGCCAAAAGGGTCATAGGAACATCATGGGGAGTTGCTGTTTTGTCTGGCTGTACAACCTACCAGCCTACCGTGGTAGCAACAGTATTTTGTCTGTCTATGAATTCAAATCACAATATCCTCCTGCTGCACACACAGGAAGACTGCATGTTCTAGAATCCTTGGTTTAGTTGGGGCCTTGTACTAATTCCAGTCAATGCAATGTGTGCAGAAGCGATATGGGCCACCTTTAGTCCTGGCCCCTGGACCTCCTGCACAATCTTCCACGCTCTTTCTCTTTCCTCCTTGGCCAGTTGAATGCAAAAGCTCCAACGGAAGCCTTCAAGGCCTAGGGGAATGGGGTCGTGACTAGAGAGAAGGAGCTTGGGTCCCAGAGTCATCCAGAGGTAGGCCACCCAGGAGATCCACCTGGCCAGGAATGTCCACATTCCACTGAGTTCAAAAAATTAACCTTGATTATGCTAAACCACAGAGATTAGGGGGTTGTTAGTGCAATCAGCCTATCTGACTAATATATGTCACATATTCTGTTGAGGGCCCAGAGGGTTCCTCAGTTTTCCAGTTCCCTTGTTAATATCATAAAGATCACCATATACAAACTGGTATAGAAATTACAGCTAAAACCAGACCACTGTATTCTTCTAAAAAATCCTTAAAAATTAAGAAAGTGATGAAGAGGGTTTTTGGTATAGATTTTAGGCAAAATAGGAACAGCCCCTCACCCACTCAGAAAACCATTCTTGTCTCAAGTGTTGGTTAGTTGATTGACTCATTCATTCATTTGCACAAATATTTATTGAGTACCTGCTCTGTACACTGAAAGGAGTTAGGAGATGTAGTGAAGTGGTGATCCAGACAGACTTAATTCCCTTCCCTCATAGAGGATCCATATTATAATTAGGGAGAAGACAACAAACAAATAACATGCAATATAAATGTCACGTAGTGATAAGTGCTCTGAAGGATAAAACAGGATAAGGGACAGAGACCGATGGGGCAATTTTAGAGGAGACTTCTGAGAAAGACCTGACTGTCTGGGACTCCCCAAGCTTGCACTCGGTGGGGCTGCCAATAACAACTATTTTTTATTCCAGCTTCGTTGAGATGTAACTAACATATTACATTGTCTGAGTTGAAGGTATACAATCTATTGATCTGGTACACTTACACATTGCAAAATGATTGCATATAGTGAATACTAAGTATCTTAAAAGCTGGTGAATCAGGGAGTGGGAGAGGCAAGCAGGTGGGCTGACAGCACTTCACCTGCATAGGGGTTTCAAGACCTTAGGGGCCAGAGCAAAAGCAGACACCTCGGGGCTGCTGTGGGCACATATATGCATCCCAAGGAACTCCCAGGACCACTCTAAGGAGCCCATAGCCTTCAGAGGAAGTATGATATAGTTAGATTCAAATTCAACCAATAATTATTGAACACCTACTCACAATGCACTTAGCACTACTCTTTCACGCTGTTATTTACCCAGTAGCCTGCCTATTCAGTCATGGAAACCTCATTGATTAGAGCTATTTTTGAGGCAACCATATGGCCCAGTTTGCGAAAACACTTTTGGGTTACAACTGTTGTTGCAGCGAAATTATTTATAGTGTTCCCTTTCACTCTGAGAAGTGTCTCAGTTTGGACAATCAAGTTACATGATCACTAAGGGATCCTTATCTATAGTAGATTGATAAACTCAAAGCCCTGGGGTGTTATAATTAGCCTTTTGTTCAACAAATATTTATTGAGTGCCTTCTGCATACCTGGTGCTCTGTTAGGGGCCGGGGATGTAGCCATGAAGAAGACATGCCTTTGCCCTGGAATACCACATGGAAATTGGTTGAAATATATACATAAACACGATCCATTGAGAGTGCAATGCCAGGAATGGACATGTAGCACTATGGGTGATGTCAGGATCAGCCTCCCTTATGTGGTCCTCACGCTGATCAAAGAACTGGAAATGAAGCCACACTCCTTTACAGCATCATTTCCACCCAGAACTCAACGGAATCTTAAAATCTAACCTGGGTTCGTATCCCTCTTTCACTATCTCTCCAGCCACCCCTTCCAAGCTCCCTGACATCTAAATGCTGGAGTGGCCCAGGGCGCATCTCTTGGATCTTTCTTTCGGCACATAGACCCAATCCTAGCCCATCTCTCATCGGACGCCCCAGTCCTCTCTCCACAATTCCAGTCACAAATATCCAGATCACAATCAACATCTCCACGTCGATGCCTGATAAACCTCCCAATACTAACACATCCAAAAGATTTTCTGCACTCCACCCACTTCCAAACCATAAATACCCTCTTATCTACTCCTCTCAAATGCCTTCCCATTTAAGTACATAAATGGCAACTCCACTCTTCCGGCTACATAGACCAAAATTTCTGAAGTCATCTTTGTCTCCTCTGTTTCTCTTATATCCCCTATCCAATCCCTCGGCAATTCTTTTGGCTTTACCTTCAACGTCCATCTAGCATCTGACTTCTTATCACCCCCTGCTCTACTGCCCCCCGGGCCAAACTGTGCCATTTCTTGCCTGTTTTACTGTGGAAGTATTACCCTTTATGGGACAACTCAGACCTGCCAGCAGCTCCCTACCTTCCTTGAAATAAAAGCTCAAGTCCTTACCATAGTGTCACAGGCCATACATGATTTGGCCTGGGATTACCTCTTAACCTCTTTTCTTCCCATCTGTCTCCCATATTTTTGCTGTTCTTTGAACACGTCCTTGCTATTCCCTCCCTCACTTCTTCTGGGTATTGGGTGAGGCTCTCCCTGTTAATCCTATCTATAGTTTCACCCCGTGCAATCCCTATTCAATTTCCAGGCCTTATTTTTCCCCACAGCCTGATTTCTATCTAATAGGGCTGCTAGATAAAATACAAGATGCCCAGTTAAATTTGAATTTCAGATAAATAACAATTTTTTTAGCATAAGTATGTCCCAAATATGGCGTGGGATATACTTATCCTAAAAATTATTTGTTGTTTATCTGAAATTCCAATTTAACTGGGCATCCTATATTTCTATTTGCTAAATCTGGCGACCCTGCCATCTAACAGGCTATACAGTTTACTTATTTGTTCATTGTCTATCTCTACCACGCCCTCCCCCTCAAACTTGGCCCTTAGAATGTAAGTTCAATGAAGGCAAGTATTTTTAGTCAACTTTGTCCACTGCTGGATTTCCAATAGCTAAAAGAGTGACTACCACATAACAGATGGTCAATATTCATTGAATGAATGAAGACATGAATAAAGTGATCACACTCCCTCAGTCTGACCATCTCCAGCCTCTGAAGCGTCTTTGAATTGCTGTGGTTGTTTGAAAGTTATTTCTTAAGTTGGTCCCATTCTAATAGCCCCTGATGTTCTGAGTCATTTCTTTCAGCAGAGGCCCAGAGGTTGAACTCCTGCTGTAGGATTCAGTCCTATCAAACTGGGGAGGGAGAAGGGGGGGAGCTTATCTCCTGCTGGACCCCACTGACCAGGCCCCTCCAGGAGAGGGCTCTGCTTTGGAAGCACAGATACCCAGACCAATGACTAGAAGACTCAGGGATTCTCCAGGGTTTACTAAACTTCAAGTTGCCTGCATTTCCCTGGGGCTTTCTCTCTCTTGTAATTGCATTTTCTTCTGTCTGGCTTAGTTTTACATTTTCAGTGGGGATGAGTCATTTGTTACTTCCCTTTTGCCTTTTTACAAAACACACACCTTTTCCCCTGTGCATAATCCCTACTCCCACGCAGCGCACTGCAGCCCCACAAGCATGTCTTCTAGTTACTAACTGGCCCCTGGATGAACCTGGGGTAGGGTGGGCGGGGGTGGTTCTGGATTGTGCGGTTTATGAACATGCTGCCTATATGATACTATGGGAGAGACTCGGGCACCACAGGCTTCAGACACTGGAGAGCAGAGAAGTCCTTTCTCCACCCAACCCCACTGCGAAATCTCTTTGGAACAACATAAGCTTCTGGAAATTCCCTACGGAAAAGACAAGTCTATTGTAAACACAATTAAAGGGAAACCGCCTGGAGAAAATTTACCAAAATTGTCTCACAACTCCCAACTTGTGAATTAAAGCACACAGAAGATTCACCGAGTTCCATCTATCGTCCAGATGTACAAATGCGCCCCCGCTGTTCTGATCTGTAAAATCAAACACCTCTTAGCTCTGTGATTTAACTCTAAAATGCCACAAAACTTGCATCCAATATGCATTTGCCTCATGGAATCCCCCAACCAATGAATGGAAATGCTGCCGTCCCAGACAGAGCTTCACAGAAACAGCTCTTTGCTCCCACGACGGGAGCAATGAGTACGAAAAGCCGCTTTTTGCGATATATTTGGCATTGCCTAGAGATACCGCACATCCTGACTGCTTACTGTGCGACAAATGTGACATCACCACGCCACTTCTTTTGCTGCTTAAGAAAATCCTGCCAGAGATAAGGCCAAACCCGAGAAATCGCAGCTCTCCACTCAGTTTTGAAAACACACCACCCCAAGAAATCATGCTTTTTCTTCGCCAGGCGCCCTGTCTCCAGCTATAAAAAGCAGCCCGCGGCGAGGGACACGCGGAACTGTAACTCCATCTTTGAATGAGTCTGTTACTTACCCTGCATCTGTCTGCTGTCTGCTGAGTAAGGGAGGCACGGCTCACATTTCTGGCTTTCATTTTCTTCCATTGTCCCTGCCTACGGCACAAGCTCCTGGCTGCTCTTTAAACTCCAGAGCGCAGTTCTGAAAGCTCCCAGAAAGCGCCTGGAAGGGGGCCCAGAGGGTGGGGAGGAGGGGACGGTGCGAAACCCCACCCCAAACTATTCTCCACTCCGGTGCAAAGTTTCGCTCGCCCGAGAAAATCGCATTCCAGCGCCGGGCCTCCCCGGCCCTCCGTGCTGCGCCCCGCGTCCGCGCGTCCGCCCGCCGGACTGGTCTGGGAGGAGTGGGGGCTGTGCTCCGAGCCCCCGCCGCCGCCCCTGCCCGGCCGGCCCCGCGCCGCGCGCTCCCGGAGGCCCCAACAGGTGATGGGCTTCCCTCCCCGGACCCAGGCTGCCTGCTGCCACCGCCGCGACCCGCCGGGACTCCGCGGCCAGGCGAGGAAGACATGTCACACAAGGTCACCCGCATGAACCTTTGCTGGAAGCCCCTTCTCTGGACTCTAATCTCAGACACAGAACGACCCTCCCCAGTAGGCTGATATCCATAGTAATAAACAACTGCCGAACGTCCCAAATTTCAGTGAAACCCCTTAAAAAATTTTAGAAAGAGTATAAGCTGAATGTTAAGCAAACACTTTCTGACACTGTTTGGAGCCTGATTAACAGACACAAAGAGGCTGTTTACTTTTGACACTATTTCGATCACTTAAGCTGGACTTTAAAAAGAGTTTGTACTCATTTGCCTACACTTCAACTCCTCCCCTTTCCCCAACACACACACGCGCGCGCACACACACACACACACACACACACAACTTGATCATAGATCTGAAAAGTAAACTTAGTAAAATCGACCTTGTGAATCTCTCAAGTTAATTACTTTAAAATCTCTGAAAAGCAGTTAAAATGGTTTGCTTCGGATGGGGAGAGTTACATGCAACATACTTATTCTCCTTTTAAACTACCTACAGATATTTATTTTGTTCTTCACCCAGTCCTTGAAAAACTGGCAAATTTCCCAGAAAGTGAGAAAAGGAGCCACAAAAAAAGGATGGGAAAATAATCTGAGCTCTGCTATTTCAGCTATCTGAAAGTAACACAATCACTGGTAGGAAGAGTGTGATATTTTAATCTGTAGTGGACCCATCATTTGAGGGGAAAAAAAGGACAATGATTTGCCTGCTGACCATACCTTGACCCAGTTTACCGGCCATTCAGGCCAAAGTTTAGATTAATTTAGATGAAGAATGTGCGCAGAACAATGGCTGGCCTATCCTCCAGATTCTGACCTTGGGTCACCTGTGTGTTCTGGCAGCGTGGGAGACATATTGGCCATTTAGGACAAAGGATATAAACCAAAGGGAAAGTAGACATGCCAGGGAGTGAGCTTCTTGTGGGGAAGGGAAGAAGAGACCCCTCAGCTCCTAACAGGATTTTTCTTGAAATCCAAAAAGATGTGGAATCTCCCAGAAAGTTAAAGCCCATACCTGGCAACATGAATACAGGCAGTTGGGTTGAGAGGGCGGATAACTCAAGGTCTCCACGACTTGGCAACAGAATTATTTGGTAATCTTGCTTTAAGGAGGAACTAATTGTACACAGTTTCTGTACTGGTGGCCTGCAGGGAAATGCCAAATGAATCTTGTCTTAACCTTACTATTTCCTCAGGTACCAAATGTTCGTGAAGGACGGAATCTGTGTTCAGGCCCCCAGGTCCAGATTATCCTGGTCCTTGTACAGCTCTTGACTATTTGTCTTCAAATTACTAATGCCTGAAAGGATGGTGGTGGTAGTGGGCAGAAGTGGTGCAGGAGAGAGAGAGAGAGAGAAAGAGGGAGCTCACAAGGCAAGCACAACATTACAGCACCAGAGCGTCAGCCTAAACCAGATGTCCCTGGGGCCTGGGACTCTGGCACCCACCTGACTTGCTTTGGTGTGTGAAGAGCTGCTCCTAGCAGCTCTTACCTGTCACTTGACACAGTACAGAGGCAAACTCCCCAGGATGAAGGAGCCAACAGCACACCTACACGGGCACCAACCAATAGCACCCTGCCCTGCCCAGGGCCTTCCTCACTAGCTCAATCCAGGCAGAAAAGATCCATTTTTAGATGCAGATTACGCTTCCTGGGGCTGTTTGGAAAGCGTGAGAGCAGCTCTTCAGGGCCCTGTTGATCCCCAGATAGGCAAAATAGGGGCAGCTCTCCCACCAGTTCTGAACTCTGGTTAGTTTCCAGGCAGCCCAAGGAACCCCCTCCACCCGACTATGTGTTCACGCTGCTCGGACCCTCTCCTCCCCCATGGGCAAAGCAGACTGCAGCCTCCTCTGTGGATATTCCTCCAAGCAAAACTCTTTGTGGAATGCACAAAAGAAAAAGGCATTACCAGTGAAGAAAATTAACATAAATCATTAAGGATCATGAAATCTCGACATACATTTACGGTAAAACATGTTCTCTTGAATAGTTAAACTTTCTGACCATTCTATGGGGAAAAGTTTCTATTGGACTAGTTACTGGCCCTTTGTTCCTTCTCCTTGAGAAGGGGAACTGAAAACAATTTGAGAAGGCACTGTGTTAATGCCCTTGCGCTGACTCAACATCTCTCCCCAGAGCACACAGATCTTACTAAGAACTTTTTGCTGATTGTCAGTTTCTCTGAGAGGGGTCTCTGGAAAACGGTCACTGTATTCTGCAATCTGCATGAACTCAGTAACTCAGATCTTCATGAAAAATACTATCATTGTCATTGCTGTTACTGTGGAGATGTTCTTTCTGGAAGAAACGCTATTTGAACTAGAAGTACACCATGGTTTTTGGTTTAATTTAATTTGGGGGTTTAAAAATTGCTATTACAAACCAATCTGCCTACTGCCATACTTTGAAATTTGCTGTGAAAGGCATCAGGGAAGCGGGAAGAATTCGAAATGTAATTTTCCTCCAGTCATACAGAGAGCTACAATAATGATACCAGGGGGCTAAACTTTCAACTCCATTTCTGTTAACCAGGGAAGGTGCAAGACTATTCCTTGGTTAATGGCTCCATATGTTGGCAATTCATGACTCAAAATGAGCTAACACACAAAAAAGCGTCATTTAAAAGGAAAGACAAGTGATGAGATAAAAGAGAGCTGATTTTTGCAGTCAGCGCTAACCTGTTACAGAACTGGGTCGTTATTAGTTTTGATAACGCAACTTAAATGGGCGTCCGCCATGATGGCCATTAATCTGGAGAATCATAAACTATTGCGTACGACTTCTCAGCAGGCCTATTTAATTACAGGGCTGTGGAGAGCACGTCAACTTCCTTTATGTAAGTTTTTAAAGAGAAATCATTTCCAGAAGCAAGCGATAAGTGGTATGGCCCTGATATATGTTTCAATTTTCTTTTTTTGCTTTAAATCCTGTTAGGAACAAGAGAGCTTAAAATGACTTGACATCAGGACACAAAAGAAATAATTACTGCTTGCTGAAGTCATAAAATGTAATTTTCAAAGGCATTGGCAACTGTGAAAATAAAACAAAACAGAATAAAATGAAAAACAACAGAAAAATGTTTCTACCGGAGACCTCATGTTTGATGTGTTACACATCGCCTTTTCTAAGGGACACGCTGCTGTGTGTCACTCTGTAACTCAGAAATAAAGGACTTTTCGGCTGGCCCCTTGGCTTAACAGTTAAGTGCTCTCGCTCCGCTACTGGCGGCCAGGCTTTGGATCCCGGCGCGCTTGGACGCACCGCTTCTCCGGCCATGCTGAGGCCGCGTCCCACATACAGCAACTAGAAGGATGTGCAACTATGACATACAACTATCTACTGGGGCTTTGGGGGAAAAAAAGGGAGGAGGATTGGCAATAGACGTTAGCTCAGAGTCGGTCTTCCTCAGCAAAAAGAGGAGGATTAGCATGGATGTTAGCTCAGAGTTGATCTTCCTCACACACACACACACACACACACACACACACACACACAAAAGGAATAAAGGACGTTTGACAGCTGGGAAAACATTTACTTCAATGGATGATCTGGTGAATGAAATGTGGGATCTTCAATCCTTGTTTTGCCAGCAATGTGTCAGCTGGCTAGTGTGGACTTATACTTAAATATAAACCAGAGCATTTGTGATAGAGAAAGGGGACACTATTAATAATTACAATAAGATGAGATGCAGAAACCACGACTGTTCCTGGCAAACCAGCACAGATGGTCACCTCTGTGTAGTCCAAGATAAACTCACGTGCACCTCAGGTTTCCAAATGCAAAATAATGCTATTGGAGTTTCCCGACAGACCTCGTAAGAGAAATTTAAGCATGAATTAAAGGTGGGAACCTCATTAGAGCAGCATTACAAGCCCCACCAACAATTTCACATCGGAAACACAAACTCCACAATATGATATTCTGTATGATTCATCCTTCAAAACAGAATTTTCCTTTCTGTGTGACCAGAAAGAAACCATTTATATATATGTGACCAGGTCACCATTTATATCTCCAGCATTCTCTACAGAGGGTAACCAATCTTCCTGATCTTACCTGCAGTCCTTAAAATCCCAGCTGCTCCAAGAGATCCTACCAGCCAAGAAGTGAGGTGGCCAAGAGCCTCTTCCACTGAAGTCTCTCTGCTCCCAAGTCTTGGAACTTTCCTCCCCTCCCCCATACAAATTCCTCATGTGGTTATAAATATAAACTACACTTCCATCCAATGTGTTAATACTTTAAGCATATTTGCTTTCATTTCAAGAGACTCCATTGATGTTGATTTTTATCGGGGTTTCTTTTATCTCTTTCAAGTTGGAAGATGCTGGAGAGCAAAGACCATGTCTGCAAAACCCTGGAGCTGGAGCTGCCATGTGTGCAGCACATCGTGGAGAAGCCATGCTCGGCTCTGCTTCCCAGTCACCGCAGAACGAGTCTGGATTCCAGGTGGCAACTTCTAAGTGAAAACTGCAACTTGCAGATGCTCACCCCTTTTATGCCAGAGTGAGCTAAACCCTGACATGTTCCGCAGAGTTCCTAAAGGCCAGGGTGGGATCCACGAGAATGTGAGAACTTCCACAGATACAAGCGCCCATTTGCTTCCTCAGTTTACCCAGCAGTGCTATTATGAATCCTTTCACTAGAGAGTATTTGGGAGGCCTCACTGGAAAGGGACTTCCCTGGCCTTTTTTCTGCCCTGGCCTTCCCAACATGCTCTCTTTCAAAGCTGCAGTGAACTGTGGAGAGGAGCACGAACTGCCGGGA